GTCAGGGAGTCTGATTCCTCCAGCTCCGTTTTTTTCCCTCAAGACTGCTTTGGCTATTTGGGGTCTTTTCTGTCTCCATACAAATTTTAAGAATTTTTGCTCTAGTTCTGTATAAAAATGCCATTGGTAAGTTGATAGGGATTGCATTGAATCTGTTGATTGATTTGGGTAGTATAGTCATTTTATAATATTGATTCGTCTAATCCAAGAACATGGTATATCTCTTCATCTGTCGGTATCATCTTTAATTTCTTTCAACAGTGTCTTATAGTTTTCTGCATACAGGTCTTTTGTCTCCCTCGGTAGGTTTATTCCTAGGTATTCTATTCTTTTTGTTGCAGTGGTAAAAGGGAGTGTTTCCTTAATTTCTCTTTCAGATTTTTCATCATTAGTGTATAGGAATACAAGAGATTTCTGTGCATTAATTTTCTATCCTGCAACTTTATGAAATTCATTGATTAGCTCTAGTAGTTTCCTGGTAGTATCTTTAGGATTCTCTATGTATACTATCATGTCATCTGCAAACAGTGACAGTTTTCCTTCTTTTTTTCCAATCTGTAGTCCTTTTATTTCTTTTTCTTCTCTGTTGCTGTGCCCAGGACTTCCAAAACTATGTGGAATAATAGTGGTGAGAGTGGACATCCTTGTCTTGCTCCTGATCTTAGAGGAAATGCTTTCAGTTTTTCACCATTGAGAATGATGTTTGCTGTGGGTTTGTCATATATGGCCTTTATTATGTTGAAGTAAGTTCCCGCTATGCCCACTTTCTGGAGAGTTTTTATCATAAATAGGTGTTGAATATTGTCAAAAGCTATTTCTGCATCTACTGAGATGATCATATGGTTTTTATTCTTCAATTTGTTAATATGGTGTATCACATTGATTGATTTGCGTATATTGAAGAATCCTTGCATCTCTGGCATAAATCCCACTTGATCATGGTGTATGATCCTTTTAATGTGTTGTTGGATTCTGTTTGCTGGTATTTTGTTGAGGATTTTTGCATCTATATTCATCAGTGATATTGGTCTGTAATTTTCTTTTTTTGCAGTATCTTTGTCTGGTTTTGGTATCAGGGTGATGGTGGCCTCATAGAATGAGTTTGGGAGTGTTCCTTCCACCTCAATTTTTTGGAAGAGTTTGAGAAGGATGGGTGTTAGCTCTTCTCTAAATGTTTCATAGAATTCACCTGTGAAGCCATCTGGTCCTGGACTTTTGTTCGTTGGAAGATTTTTAATCACAGTTTCAATTTCATTACTTGTGATTGGTCTGTTCATATTTTCAGTTGCTTCCTGGTTCTGTCTCAGAAGGTTATACCTTTCTAAGAATTTGTCCATTTCTTCCAGATTGTCCATTTTACTGGCATAGAGTTGCTTGTAGTAGTCTCTTAGGATGCTTTGTATTTTGGCTGTGTCTGTTGTAACTTCTCCTTTTTCATTTCTAATTTTATTGATTTGAGTCCCCTCCCTCTTTTTCTTGTTGAGTCTGGCTAATGGTTTATCAATTTTGTTTATCTTCTCAAAGAACCAGCTTTTAGTTTTATTGATCTTTGCTATTGTTTTCTTTGTTTCTATTTCATTTATTTCTGCTTTAATCTTTATGATTTCCTCCCTTCTGCTAACTTTGAGTTTTGTTTGTTCTTCCTCTAGTTTAGGTGTAACATTTAGGTGTAACATTAGATTGTTTATTTGAGATTTTTCTTGTTTCTTGAGGTAGGCTTGTATAGCTATAAACTTCCCTCTTAGAACTGCTTTTGCTGCATCCCATAGGTTTGGATCATGTTTTCATTGTCATTTGTCTCTAGGTATTTTTTATTTCCTCTTTGATTTCTTCAGTGATCTCTTGGTTATTTAGTAACGTATTGTTTAGCCTCCATGTGTTTGTGTTTTTCACGTTCTTTTCCCTGGAATTGATTTCTAATCTCATAGCGTTATGATCAGAAAACATTCTTGATATGATTTCAATTTTCTTAAATTTACTGAGGCTTGATTTGTGACCCAGGATGTGATATATCCTGGTTAATGTTCCATGTACACTTGAGAAGGAAGGGTAATCTGCTGTTTTTGGATGGAATGTCCTATAAATATCAATTAAATCTATCTGGTCTATTATGGCATTTAAAGCTTGTGTTTCCTATTAATTTTCTGTTTGGATGATCTGTCCATTGGTGTAAATAAGGTGTTAAAGTCACCTACTATTATTGTGTTACTGTTGATTTCCTCTTTTATAGCTGTTAGCAATTGCCTTACGTATTGAGGTGCTCCTATGTTGGGTGCATAAATATTTATAATTGTTATATCTTCTTCTTAGATTGATCCCTTGATCATTTTTATGTAGTGTCCTTCCTTGTCTCTTGTAACATTCTTTATTTTAAAGTCTATTTTATCTGATGAGTATTGCTACTCCAGATTTCTTTTGATTTCCACTTGCATGGAATATCTTTTTCCATCCCCTCACTTTCAGTCTGTATGTGTCCCTAGGTCTGAAGTGGGTCTCTTGTAGACAACATATATATGGGTCTTGTTTTTGTATCCATTCAGCCAGTCTGTGTCTTTTGGTTGGAACATTTAATCCATTCACGTGTAAGGTAATTATCGATATGTATGTTCCTATTACCATTTTCTTAATTGTTTTGGGTTTGTTTTTGTATGTCCTTTTCTTCTCTTGTGTTTCCCACGTAGAGAAGTTCCTTTAGCATTTTTTGTAGAGCTGATTTTGTGGTGCTGAATTCTCTTATCTTTTGCTTGTCTGTAAAGCTTTTGATTTCTCCGTCAAATCTGAATGAGATCCTTGCTGGGTAGAGTAGGTTCTTCCCTTTCATCACTTTAAGTATATCATGCCACTCCCTTCTGGCTTGTAGAGTTTCTGCTGAGAAATCGGCTGTTAACCTTATGGGAGTTCCCTTGTATGTTGTTGTTTTTCCCTTGCTGCTTTCAGTAATTTTTGTTTGTCTTTAATTTTTGCCAATTTGATTGCTATGTGTCTCAGCATGTTTCTCCTTGGGTTTATCCTGTATGGAACTCTCTGAGCTTCCTGGTCTTGGGTGGCTATTTCCTTTCCCATGTTAGGGAAGTTTTTGACTATAATCTCTTCAAATATTTTCTCGGGTCCTTTCTCTCTCTCTTCTCCTTCTGGGACCCCTATAATGCGATTGTTGTTGCATTTAATGTTGTTCCAGAGGTCTCTTAGGCTGTCTTCATTTATTTTCATTCTTTTTTCTTTATTCTGTTCCACAGCAGTGAATTCCACCATTCTGTCTTCCAGGTCACTTATCCGTTCTTCTGCCTCAGTTATTCTGCTATTGATTCCTTCTAGTGCAGTTTTCATTTCAGTTATTGTATTGCTCATCTCTGTTTGTTTGTTCTTTAATTCTTCTAGATCTTTATTAAACATATCTTGCATCTTCTCGATCTCTGCCTCCATTCTTTTTCTGAGGTCCTGGATCATCTTCACTATCACTATTCTGAATTCTTTTTCTGGAAGATTGCCTATGTCCACTTCATTGAGTCGTTTTTCTGGGGTTTTATCTTGTTCCTTCATCTGGTAGATAGCCCTCTGCCTCTTCATCTTGTCTCTCTTTCTGTGAATTTCTTTTTTATTTTTTAAGTGTTGAATACTATTCCATTTTCTAGATGTACCATACTTTATATCTTTTTTGCTGCCCATTAAATTTCAGCTAGAGGTTTTCTTCTTTTTCAAGATTGATTCTAAAAACCAACTTTCTCCACCCCCTTCCCCATACAGCCATCAATTCTCTTCCTAGCCTTCCTTAAACTTCATGTCCAGAATACTTTTTCTAGATCTTTTTCTTTTTGTAATTGTATAAAATACACATAACATAAAATTTACCGTGTTAGCAATTTTCAAGATTAGTTACAGTAGTCTTTAGATATGTTCATATTGTTGTGCAACCAATCTCCAGAGCTTTTTTTACCTTGCAAAACTGAAACTCTGTACCCAGTAAATAACTACCCCTCATTTTCCTCCTGCCTTCAGCCCCTGGAAACCAGCATCCTACCTTCTGTCTCTGAATTGACTACACTGGGAGCCTCATATAAGTGGAATCATACAGTATTTGCCTTTTTGTGACTGGCTTATTTCACTTATTGTAATGTCTTCGAAGTTCATCCATATTACAACATGTGTCAGAATTTCCTTTCTTTTTAAGGCTGAATAATATCATATTGTATGTATATACCACATTTTGTTTATCCATTCATCTGCTGATGGACACTTGGGTTGCTTCCACCTTTTGGCTATTCTGAATAATGCTGCTATGAACATGGGTGTATAAATATCTCTTCAAGACTCTGCTTTTAATTCTTTTGGATATATACCCAGAAGTAGGATTCCTGGATCATATGGTAGTTCTTTAAAAAATTTTTTTGAAGAACTGCCATACTGTTTTCCATAGCAGCTGCTCCATTTTACATTCCTACTGACAAGGTTCTAATTTCTTCACATCCTAGCCAACACTTGCAATTTTCTATTTTTTTCTGATGGTGTGAGGTAATGTCTCATTGTGGTTTTGATTTGCATTTCACTGATGATCAGTGATGTTGAGCATTTTGCCTCTTTCTATAACTCCTATTGTCTTCCCTTTAACTATGATGCACAATACAGCAGTCCTCCCCACACAGCTTCTACACAGGTTGTTTGTGCTCATCCGTGTGACCGCAGGCCAGTCACATAAGATATATTGATCTTCCCTCTTTTTGATTAAGATATATTGATCTTCCCTCTTTTTCAGATTGTAAATACCTGGAGAAGGAGGAGGACGGTGGTTTTCTTATTCTCCACAGTGACTTAGGAAAGTCTGCATTTAGGGCCTGGGTGTGTGATGATTTCCCAGTAAACCACGTGTGGTGGGATGTGATGTCCAGAAAACATGGCTGACAGCAAGGGTTGGGGAGTGTTTAGCACCCCCCAAGGAATTAGCCGGGCATCCACAACTTCTCTCGGGGCTCACTCCCATTGTCCTCTGCACCCCTCCTCCCCAGGTACAAGCCTCGGGAGAAGCTGAAGGTGAACTTTGGTACTCCCGAGTTCCTGGCCCCAGAAGTCGTCAATTACGAGTTTGTCTCGTTCCCAACGGACATGTGGAGTGTGGGAGTCATAACCTACATGCTGTGAGTGCCCAGGGGCCTCACGCCCCGCTGGGAATGGGGGCCATTTGTCTTAGTTTGGGTATCCTTAGAAGCAGCAAGAATTTGAGGGCAAGGAGTTTATTGGGGAGGCATCCCTAAGAAAAGCCAACAGAGAAGTGGGGAAGTGAAATGGGGAAGGAAGACAGCCAGTAAAGTGTGCGTGGTGGAGTCAGTAACCACTGTGGGCACCTGGAGTTTAATCCTGCAGGGAACTGGGGGCCACTGTGGGACACCCACTCAGAGCTAGGCCAGCTAGTGGGGGAGGGAGTTGGGGTATTAATACACCAACTCTAATCAGTTGTTGCTAGTGGGCTGGTCCCAGAGTTATTAATTCCCTGAAACTTCTGGGTGGATAAATCAGCTTCCACTGGAGAGAAAGCCCTCTGGCAAAGAAATGCAGGTGCTGTGGTGCAAGTGGGACTGGAGTGCATTGAAGAGGTAGGGAGAGGGGAGGGCAGGGCAGGGCACAGCTCCTGCATCTTCTAACTTTGTCCTTCTGCTCTGCACTCCCTGTTTTCTGTGGGCTGAGGAAGCAGAGTTAGGATGGGCTGAGAGGAGATCTGTGCACAGATTAAATGTCCTCCTCTCTCTCCAACTGTGGACATCCCTCAGCTATTTCCTCAGAGGCCCAACAAAATCAAGCTTTGCTCCCAGTCTTATTATTACAGTTTAACTGTTTCCCCACACTTTGTGTGTGTGCTACACCAGGTTGGGGAATATTGTGGCTCAAGGCCAGCCAGTGAAGTTGTCTCATCTCTCTGCCCTCCTCTAGAGGAGCCTAATAAAGCCAGTTTTCCTTTGGCCCCTGAGGCCTGGGTAGTCTCAGAGACATGCCAAGCTATCTTAATATTCAGTCAAATGTACCTGATAAATGGGCATATTGGGTTGGATCCCAATTTACTCTTTAATTCAGCGTAAGGGGGAATGTGGTGAGCATGATAGGGGACTTATTCCACCACTCTTCCTGTCATCAATTTTTCAGTGCTTCCACTTTACTGAGCACACTGGACTTCTCCTGTGGAGAGGCAATGGGGGTGCTTTTCTTTTGAACCCTCTTGGTTCTGGTTAGTTCTGCTTGACCTTGTAAGAGTCTTCTCTGTATTGTCGATGTGTGTTGGCAGGTATAGATTCCACATACTGACAGTCCTTTCTCTCCTCTGTAGGCTCAGTGGTTTGTCGCCATTTCTAGGGGAAACAGATGCAGAGACCATGAATTTCATTGTGAACTGTAGTTGGGATTTTGATGCTGACACCTTTGAAGGGCTGTCAGAGGAGGCCAAGGACTTTGTCTCCCGGTTGCTGGTCAAAGAGAAGAGGTACCCTTTATTGCTTGTCACCCATGATCCATCCTGATGGTGACCATCCATTTGGGTGCTGTGGAAATCAGGCTGGTGCTGGGCAGGGCTGCTGAAGCGAATGGTCCTTTCTCCCTGTAGACAGATTCTGTTCAGGATTTCTTAGTCTGCTACTTCTTTGAGGAAAAAAAAGAAAAGGTAGCAGGGAAAGGGACAAAGGAAGTCAGTTAAGAAACAAGCAACTAGGAGCATAAAATCTAGACAAGAGTTTTAGAAAGGACCATATTTACAAATAAGGCCTATTTCCAAGTTATTGCTTTTCATAGGCTAATGTTGAAAAAAAGTTGAGATATGCAGTTGTTATTCCCCAGAATAAAAGACAGAAAACCTTATTTCTTGGTGATGAAGACCTACTTCGTTTTCAGTAGCTATATCAAGGTTATGGGTTGGGCCACTGAGTTTTCCAATACTCAGACATATGGGAATAACTACAAGTGGTGGGGCCCAAGATCTGGGCTCTGAGACAGCTCTTGTTCCCTGGCCTTGACTGTTTTGTTTCTTCCTTATTGTGAAAAGTTATGTGAGAGGAAATATATTTCTAATTCAGATGAACAAGTTGACATTATTCTCTGTGAAGAAAGATGAGCTTCTTTCAAGGCTCATGCTCTTTTACTTCTTAAGAGCAATTCCAGGCACAGCTGGCCCTCCTACTGTCCTGCCTTGATTCCCCAGCTCTCTCTGGGAGGTGGTGATTAATCACTAGGACACATACCCTCAATAGAGGGCAGGGAACATTTTGCTGACGACATTCTTGCACTTTTAAGGATGGGAATTTTAGGTAGTAGGAGGTCTTTTTTTAGCACGTGGCATGAATCTGCCTATATGATTAATCTGTTCCACTGACTCAGCTTCCTACCAATTAAACAGATTTTGGATAGCCAGAAAAATGCAACCCCAACTAAAAGTCTCACCTGCTGTTTGATTTCACAGCTGCAGAATGAGTGCCACACAGTGCCTGAAACATGAGTGGTTGAATAACTTGCCTGCCAAAGCTTCTAAATCGAAAGTTCGTCTCAAATCCCAACTATTGCTGCAGAAATACATGGCTCAGAGGAAATGGAAGGTATCTGTTTTTCTTTTAGTAAAAGCAGCATTTGTTTTCTTAAAATGTCCTTTGAAAGAAGGGTACTAAGTTTTTACTTACGTTTTGATTCTAAATAGATTATTTAGGGGGAAAAATGTCTCACGTCAAAAACCTGTTACCTTCGCAACGGAAGAGGCCACAACAGTGAGAGGCCCGCATACCGCAAAAAACAAACACAAACAAAAAAACCTGTTACCTTGATTAAAAAATGCCACAGACCGAAAGTGACTGGCATAAAAATAGCTTTCAATTCATACTTATGTGAACACTTGAAGTGACAGAATGAAGTCTGAGTGTGTGTTCTCAATGAACATCGCAGTGCAGCGCTCAGAACTAACTGCCCGTAGCTTGAGGATGATTCCTCCACATTTTAGAAAAAGGGCCTAGGAAAGCCCTATTAGGCTTTAAAAGCTTTATAATTTTGTTTACAACAGAACGCTTTGGAACCATGGACATAGAATGTCTCTCAAAAACAATTGTCCTCCAGGGAAGTGAGGACACTTTTGATATTGGCTTAGATCTTCAATAAAAAACAAAACCAAAATGCTTTACCCAGAGAGCCAGTATACAAGTACACGTATACTCGCACACATGTGAAACAAAAATACTGTGACATTTGCTCCACAGAGTGTGATGCACTCTGATATTTTCTATTCTATGATATTTAGTTTCATTTAAAAAAAGTTGTTAGTCATGCCCCACCAATTTGATTTCATGACCCACTGGTGGGTTGTGAGTTACAATTTGAAAAATACCATTCTAGGGTGCTCCATTTTTCACGTGAAAAGGGTGGGATAACATATTTTCTCACTTCAAACTTGCTTTAAACATGCCCCTGAAAGTCATGTGACTGTTCTACTATAATTGTGCTAGAATCTTCTTTTCCCCTTTAGTTATCAATTTTAAACAAACCCAAGTGGCTAAACTTAAGCAAGTCCTTTTATTGTTTCTTCTTAAAGTAATTGATCTATAAATATGCCTTTTTCCCTTCCTTTTTTCTCTCCTTACCTTAAGAAACACTTCTACGTGGTGACTGCTGCCAACAGGTTAAGGAAATTTCCACCTTGTCCCTAATCCTCAACTCTGCTGCTCCCATGGGCCCAGAAATTACTGAGACTTGTGGTGAAGTCATGACTGAAGATTTTTAATAATCTGGCCTTCTACTTATTTTGTAAAAAAAGGTTATGGCTGTTGCCTTCCTTGTGGATGAAAAGTGGCTGTAAAGAGACTGACCTAAGAACTTTTTTCTGCCTTATAAGATCAGTTGAAATGCTGGGATTACTTTTCAAGTGTACCTACTTTTGGTGATAAGTGTAGGCATGCTTTAGGTAGGTAGGAAAGCTTCTACTTTGCATATGTCAAATTTAATGTCTAAGCTTACTCTGATTAAAGAACCCAGTGGACTATCACCCAGGGCATGTTAGTATTACCTCCTCCAGTGCAAAGAATTCCTAGCATTTTGACTTGCTCAGGTGTGAGCTGACATTTTGTACTACATTTGTTGCTCTAGTGTGAAGCAATGTGGATTTAGGGCAGAGATCCTCAAACTTGTTTTAACGTGTGCTCCCTTTTGAGAATCAAAACATGCATCCTTTAATATTCTTTGAAATTTCAAAATGTACTGACTGTCATGGCGATATCAGAGCAATGATAGTTTTGAATATGCTTTTAAAATCTGTACATACCTCTACCCTCTCCTAATTCTGCCCTGTCCTGGCATTGGCAGTCTCCCTCCTGATCTCTCTTCCACAGTTATGAATCTATGGTCTAGTAAGTCTGGGAACTGATATGTAATATGTGAAAGAGAGATAAGAATGTAATGATGTTCAGCTTTCTGAGAGAAACACAGAAATGATGCATCAAGAGAAAACAAATGAAAACTGCTCTCCTACTGTTTTATCAGGTATATACCCATCACTTAACTAACTTCAAGAAATTATTAACAGGAGTACTTTATTATTCAAAAGGAAACAATCCTTTTAATTTCCTTAGTTGTAAGGAAATTTTTGTGCTATTCTCATGACCTTCTTGGGCCAGAAGTTTTTAGTTACTTTTAATTTTTAATTAGCCATGCAACAGTTTCACAGCCTTTCAGGACTTTTGTCCCATAATAAAGACTTTTTTTATTGTGGGGAGAGAGGCAGAAGATGGAGATATTAATCCTCCTGCTGCATTTCTTCGGTTATAACTTTCCTCTGGAACACTAACCCCTGTTGGGAAGCTAAGATTTTCAGTATCAGCACATCTAGGCCTGCTCCAAGCTTGTCGGCTTGTGGATGAATATCAGAAGAGATGGCTGCTGGAAACCTCCCTTTCATGGGCCAGTAACAGTGATTTGGTAAAATGCTTTATTTTTAAGGTGTTCTGAAGGCAGCCTCCAGAAGGAGCTATAGAGGATATCTACAGTTCTATCTATAGTATGGTGATTCTTCCCTTCCATGGGACTTCACATTCTTGGGGGAATGCTATAAATCTTCTCCCCAGAAAAATGTAGTTAGTTATCCTGACCTAGAGCACCACTCCCTCATAGAAATATAATATGAGCCATATACATAATTTAAAATTTTCTGATAGCTTCTCTAAAAATACCCCGGTAAAATTAATTTTAATAATTTATTTAACATATCAAAACCTATTTTAATATGTAATCAATATAAAAATTATTGATTTTTTTTCATACTAAGTCTCCAAAATCTGGTGTGTATTTTACACTTAAAATACATGCCAGTTCAGATTCTAGATTTTTATCAGACATACAATTTGTATTTAGATTTCATAAAATTTACTGTGGAAAAATATAGTCACATATTCAAGTTGTTCAAGCATCTTAAATATTTTCTAGTATTTTTACGATTAATTAAAATGAAATAAAATTAGAAATACAGTTGCATTAGCCACACTTTAAGTGCTTAATAGCCACATATGGTTAGTGGCTTCTATATAAGACAGGGCAGATCCAGAGAAAATCCGATAGCTATCAAATTTTAATTTTTCCCCCTATATGCTGTTATTCTCTACCTAGAGAAACTTTTCAACAAAGTTCCTTTGAGGGATTTGTTTAGGCCAGGCCCACACAAGTGAGAGGTACTGCAGAAGTTAGCTTCCCTTATTTGAAAGGTGAGGGAGCTTTTATGAAACTTTAATTTTCTGGATATTTTTAGTTCTCTGCTGGTGTGTACTTGAAAATTTTTTAGATTGCAACTTTGCTAGCATTAACTATTTCAAACGGGACTTTTTAATTTGAATGAACAGTCATTGAAAACTTCTGGGAAATCAATGATACTCCAATATAAAATAAAAATTAAATTTAAAAAAATGAAAGAAAACTGCTGGGCAGAGGAACTCTGAAAGGTAGTCAGGACCCACTTTTTTCACCTAGCAGATTTGGTGAGGGTGTGGGGAAAATGGAATTTTTCACTTTTGATGAATATGTATCCAAATAAAAGTCATGCCCATACTTTCACCCGGCAATTCCATTTCTAGAAGTTTATCCCTCAGCAATACTTGAACAAGCGGGCAGAGATGTATGCAAAGTGACCTTTACTGTAGCAAAATGGCCCATATAGGTTGAAAACAACCTATATGTGCCTATCAGCAAGGGTTTAAATTTTGCCACATACATATGGGAGGTTACCTTGTAGCCAGTAAAGATAGATCTTGATGTACTGAGATTTATTATGAAAAAAATTATAGAACATATATATGGTATTATGCCATTTATGGAGAGACATGCTTATATGTGCATTAAACTTTTCTAGGTTATGCAAGAAAGTTAACAGTGTGGTGTAGAAAGTGGGTGATGGGGAGAGAGGGAATTCTACTTTTCACTTTATTACTTTCTAAATCATTTGAAGTTTTTTTTAACAATGAGCATGTATTGCTTTTAAAATTAAAAATTAGCAACCCACTGTCAAGTGTGGACCTTGTCTTGACCCTGATTTGAGCAAATAAACGATAAAAAGATATTTCAGAGACATCCAGGGAAATTTAATTCTAAATTGCATATTTGGGCTTCCTTGGTGGTGCAGTGGTTAAGAATCTGCCTGCCAATGCAGGGGACACGGGTTTGAGCCCTGGTCTGGGAAGATCCCACATGCCGCGGAGCAACTAAGCCCGTGCGCCACAACTACTGAAGCCCATATGCCTAGAGCCTGTGCTCCGCAACAAGAGAAGCCACCTCGATGAGAAGCCCGTGCACTGCAATGACAAGTAGCCCCCACTCACCTCAACTAAAGAAAGCCCGCGCGCAGCAACGAAGACCCGATGCAGCCAAAACTAAATAAATAAATTTTTTTAAAATTGCATATCTGATGATAGAATTTCTATTAATATTGTGACGTATGATAATGGTAATGTGGCTATAATGTGGGTTAAATGACTTCAGGAAAAAGGGAGATACAGTTAAGCAAGTGTGGCAAAATCTTAACTGTTGGGTTTGGGTAGTCAGTATGGGGTAGCATAATATTGTCTTCTAGTAAAGAGGTATATATTTGTTGTATACATTTGAAAACTTTCATGATAAAACATTTTTTAATCAGTTAAATAAGCCAAGAGGAGCTGTTAAAGAAATGAGCTTCCAGAAAGTCTTTACAACAGTACTGAAATATGGACCCACTAAGTAGTAAGCTTCCATAGCTGGAGTATGAATGTGTTGGAAAATTGTGAAGGATTCCTGCCCTAGGAGGGCATTTGGACAAGATTGCTTTAAGGCAATTCCCCTACCCCATAACTAGTTTAAAAAATAACGAAGTACCTACTACATTCCAGATAATCAAGGTATATTACCATCACCTGCTTTCAGGGCATAGACGAAAAAGTCACAAACAGTACTTATTTATTCTCATGAAATCAACAGTGAAAAGGCAATCTTAAGAATGGGAGAAAATATTTGCAATAATTTTTTAATAGGGGGTTAATATTTACACTATATAAAGAACAACTCAACAACAAAAAACCTATTAAAAAAATGGGTGGACTTGAACTGACATTTTCCCAAATGGCAAACAAGCACATGAAAAAGTGCTCACTAATCATTAGAGGAATGCAAATCAAAACCACAATGAGATACCACCTCACACCCATTTAGGATGGCTACTAACAAAAAAAACAGAAAATACGTGTTGGCCAGGATGTGGAGAAATTGGAACCCTTGTGCACTGTTGGTGGGAATGTAATATGATGCAGTTATTATGGAAAACAGTATGGTGGTTCCTCAAAATTTAAAAACAGAATTATCAAATGTCACTTCCAGGTAAATGCCCAAAATAATAGAAGGCAGGATCTCCAAGAGACACATAACTATACACATCTATAGCAGCACTATTCACAATAGCCAAGAGGTAAAAGCAACTTAAATGTTCACTGACAGATGAATGGATAAAGTGTGGTATATCCACACAATGGAAAATTATTCGACTTAAAAAGGAAAGAAATTCTGACACATGCCACAGTATAGATGAACCTCAAGGACATTATGCCAAGTGAAAAAAAGTAAAAAAAAAAAATACCATATGATTCCACTTAGATGAAGTATCTAGCTAGAATAGTTAAAATTCAGACGGAGGTAGAATGGTGGCTGCCAGAGGCTGGGGGAGGGAGGAATGGGAGTTGTTTAATGGGTTTCATGGGTAGAGTCAGCTTTGCAAGATGAAGAGTTCTGGAGATCACATAACAATGTGAATGTACTTAACACTAGTGAACTGTACTCTTAAAAATTGTTAAGATAGTGAATTTTATATTTACCACAATTTTTAAAAAAAGTGAATGTGCTTTAATTTTACCTGGTGATGAACAGATTGCTTTGACCCAAAAGTAGAATCTAAATCTTGGTACCCAAATCAAATTATATACCTTCTTAAAATAAATGAGGAAAAGGCTCACATCCATTTTAGATCAAAGTAATAATAGAAGCACTATTTAGTGAATGTCTTCTAAGTGTCACACACTTTACAAATATTACCTTTAATTCTCACAAGGTAGATAATATTTCCATTTTATAAACAAAGAAACTGAAGCTCATTAAGGTTGTAATATTTCCTCAGGGTATAAGTGGCAGAGTCAGAATTTAAATGCAAGTGCATGTGGTTCCAAAGCTCACGTTCATTCCCCTCTACCACATGGCTGTGGGACATTATGCATGTGTGGGATCATTTGATTACAGCATTTCTCTAACCTTAGCTTGCTAAATGTCTAGAATTAAAAGGGGCAGGGAAAGAAAATCACTCCCTTAGTTACTCCTGTTCTATGCAGCAGGTATTATACCTTATTTACAGCAGATAGAAGGCAACCACTATTATTGATTCCATTCTGATTAGGCTTTAAAAATTTGGATGCAATCACTTTATTGCATTCTTCATGGAAATATTTAATTAGATCATGTATTATTTTTGAAAGTTAATAAACTTTATTTTTTAGAGTTTTTAGGTTCATAGCAAAATTGAGCAGGAAGGACAGAGATTTCCGCTATGCCCTCTGTACCTGCCCATACCGCCTCATCCACAACCTCCTCCACTATTGACATCACCCGCTACAGTGGGTGTATTTACTACAGCTGATGAAACTACAATGACACATTGTTATCACCCAAAGTCCATTGCTAACATTAGGGTTCACTCTTGGTATTGCACATTCTGTGGGTTTTGATGAATGTATAATGATATATATCCACCATTGTAATATCATACAGAATAGTTTCACAGCCCTAAAAATCCTTTATGCTCTGCCTATTCATCTCTGCCCCCACCCCAACCCCTGGAGACCACTGATCTTTTTACTGTCTCCATAGTTTTTTCCTTTTTCATAGTGTCATATACTTGGAGCCATAAGGCCTTTTCATATTGGCTTCTTTCACTTAGAAGTACGCATTTAAATGTCCTCCATGTCTTTTCATGATGTGATAGCTCATTTCCTTTTAGTGCTGAATAATATTCCATGGTCTGGATGTACTACAGTTTATCCATTCACCTACTGAAAGACATCTTGGTTGCTTCTAAATTTTGGCAATTATGAATAAAGGTGCAATAAATATCAATGTGTAGGTTTTTGCAGACATAAGTTTTCAACTCATTTAAGCAAGTACCAAGGTGATTACTGGATTACATGGTAAGAGTATGTTTAGTTTCGTAAGAAGCTCCCAAACTGTCTTCCAAGTCGCTGTAACATTATGCCTTCCCACAAGCAACGAATGAGAGTTCCTGCTGTTCCACATCCTCGCCAGCATTGTTCTTCTCCTTCAATATCGACTTGTTGTTCTGGGTCTTTTAATCTTCATATAAACTTTAGTCTGTTGATGTCCACAAAATGCTGGGACTTTGATTGGAATTGTGTTGAATCTATACATCAAGTTGGGAAGAACTAACATCTCAACAATATTGAGCCTTTCTATCCATGAACATGCAATCTCTCCATGCATTTTATTCTCCTTAGATATGTTGATATTTTATTGGAGTTTTGAAGTTAGCTTTGTAGTAGATCATGTATTCTTAATTTTGGTTAAAATCATGTCTGGCATGATGCCTCAGAGCCCCTAGCAACTTATCTTTCCAGGCCCTTTTCCATAGTTTTAAAGTAAGTATTTAGTAAGGTTACATTTTTCAGTATGTGGATATCAAAGAAAATAAACCTTGGGCTCTTTTTTAAAGTATAATTGACTTACAATATTATATAAATTTCAGGTGTACAATATAGTGATTTGATATTTCTACACATTATGATCACCAGTCTAGTTATCATGTCATCACAGTGACTACATATTATTGACCATATTCCCTATGCTGTACATTACATCCCCATGACATTTATTTTATAACTGGTAGTTTGTACTCCTTAATCTCCCTCACCTATTTCACTCATCCCCCCTACCCACCTCCCCTCTGGCAACCACCAATTTGTTGTTTGTTTTGTCCATTCGTGTTTTGTTTTTAGATTCCACATGAGATCATACGGTATTTGTATTTCTGTCTGACTTATTTCACTTAGCATAATACCCTCTAGGTCTATCCATGTTGTCACACTTTAGTCTGTTTCTTAATTTTTTAATATGATGCTAATATATAATTATGTGAGACCTCTATGTGTTTCTTTCTGTATTTTAATACTTACTAAATACTTATACCAGGAGCTGTACTAAATGCTTTACATGTATTAGCTCAGATACTCCTCCAAATTATTCTATGAGGTAGACATTATTTTTATTCCTACTAATTGATTTGGCATAAAGAAGCTAATTAATTTGCTCAAGGTTTCACAGGTGGTAAATGGCTGAGCAGTGTTTTAAACCCAGAAAGTCTGATTCAAGAGTTTGTGCTCTGGGGAGCAGTATGGTTCAGTGTTCAGCAACCTGGGCTTTTTTCCCGCTAGAGTAGACGGCTTTTGGCATACCACAGATTCTCCCAAACTGATAACAACTGCTCCTTGAATGCATATAAAAATAATATTTATTAACTTAGGTTGTACTATATATTTAGTCAACCCAAGAGATTAACACAAAAACTTAAAATCTTTAGACTCCATTCAGCTTGAATTTCATATTCTGGATAGGACAGGAGACTGTCTTTGCTTAAAACAAAACAAGAAAGCAAAATGGTTTCAATGACATTTTGTAGGAGATAGCAGACCTGTGGAGAGCCAAGGCTGAGCCAACCAGGCACTGTGGCTTATCTAACGAATTTGCTGCCCATGTGAGAGCCACCCTGCTCATCCCCAATGCTGGTTTCTTTGCTATTAAGGATAGGATCGTTGTTATAAAAGTTCAAACAAATTTCCAAAGTCCTCACATCTTCCTTGAGGTGGCAGATGCACTGCTGGTTTGCAGTACAGGTGGTCCGGAAGCTGAAATCACTGTTGTAGCCTTTTGTGCTTTGGCAGCATTTTCCAAAATTTTCCTTTTCCACTGTTCATAATCCTGTGTCAGATCTTCATCTTTTTGCGGTTTATGTGGGATCTCTACTACATTCTCTATTTCTATGAGAGAAAAAAAATTTTGTTTCAAAATCCTTATGTTTACAAATGAGTAAGAAAGAAGTAAGCTTGTTTACTTTAAAACGTCTATCTTAATTAAGGTAATAGGGAATAAGATACCAAAATGAGAAGTGGAAACAGAAGTTAACACATCAGTTTTTCGCTCTCCCTTACACTCCAAGCATTCCAAGACATCTTGATGATAGCTAACATTTATCAAGCCCTGAATCCAGCACTTTTTAATTGTATTATCTCATTCAACCCTCACCACAATTATGTGAAATGGGTGCTAATATTAATCACATTTTATAGATTAGGAAGTTGAGGCTCACAGAAATTGTCACTTTCCTAAAATCACAGAACCACTCGGTGGTAAAGCAGGATTTGAACCTCAGCAGTTTGCCTTCAGGTGTATTCTTAATTACATGATACTTCTGTAAACTACTGCTTGGAAAACTGGTCTTATCAAATGATTAACTTCCAGGATTTAGTTAAAATCTGACTTTTTTTTTAATTGAAGTATAGTTGATTTACAATGTTGTGTTAGTTTCTGGTGTACAGCAAAGTGATTCAGTTATACATATATGTATATTCTTTTTCATATTCTTTTCCATTATGGTTTATCACAGGATACTGAATATAGTTCCCTGTGCTACAGTAGGACCTTGTTGTTTATCCTTCGTATATATAATAGTTTGTATCTGATAGTCCCAAACTCCCAATCGAACCCTCCTCCTTGGCAACAAGTCTGTTCTCTATGTCTGTGAGTCTGTTTCATAGATAAGTTCATTTGTGTCATATTTTAGATTCCACATACAAGTGATATCATATGGTATTTGTCTTTCTCTTTCTGACTTATTTCACTTAGTATGATAATCTCTAGATCCATCCATGTTGCTGCAAATATAAAATCTGACTCTTGTCAAGGCAAGCTGCTAAAGCAGCAAAGGGCTGTTCACTGCATTAAACCCACTGTACACTAATCCCATTGTACTAATTTCAACGTTCATCCGGTGTTAATAATGCTTCACCCGTTGCTGAAGGTTCAACCACTGTCTTCTTTTTCTTCCATGGTGGAGTAGCTGAATCTCCAGGCTCTCCTTTAGGGGAAAAAAAAAGTATTATCAGAGTTAATTTTTCTCCTATTTTCAATTTTAGTTTTGGGGCTTATTTTGGATCACAAATAAAAACCAGATACCTTGATTGACCAAATACTAGGGTAAGGAGAAGGCAAATGATCTTGCCCTTCTCTTTTCTTTGGCTTTTCATGTCAGACTTCAGAACAGAGAACCTATTTTCTAGGTATGAATTTACAGAATCACAGGGTTGGTTTTTTTTGTTTTTGTTTTTTAGTTATTAAGCTATTTTATTTGAAAAATAGAAAAGAACAGTAATTTTCTCAGTAAAAACCGATCTTGTCTACAGATAGACAAGAATATATATTTCAGAGACGTTCTTTCAAATGACACGTTCTTGCAACATGGAATGAATACTCACTGTCGATCTGCTGCCCAATCTTCTCTAACTGTTTACAGAGTCGATCAAACATGGCTTTTTTTACACCGGATGTGGCTGCCATTTTATTTCTGTCCACCTTTAGCTTTAGAATCCTACAAAAGAATTTGATAACTTACTGTTCTTAAGATCAGTATTGTTATCTTCTTTGGCCAACCAGTTATCAACTTATTTCCTTTCCACTAAGGCTTTATGAAGAGCCCCCAACTGTTTAATTTTCCCTTTATTTCAAACATATATCATTAGCTAAAACCATGCAAACTTACCTTTTAAAGCTATTTATTTAGTTATTTATTGTACTGCGAGAGTTAAAATGCACACGGGGTCTGTTACATAACAAATAGGGCACATAAAAACATTTGCTATAGTACTTCATGCTTTATAGAACTCTTTCTTATACATCTCAGATGTTAACTTGTTAAATGACAATTACAGCATTTTAAAGTGTTTAACTCACTTTAAACACTTATGATGCTTATATTTATATGACTACAAGAATATAAACCACCCTCCCCTCCAAAAACTCCCTCCCTAATAACACTTCACAACAACCACTAATGAAAAATACAAAACAAACTTATTTAAAATAACAGACCCATTCAAACCTTTCTTTGTTCAGTGAAATGTGCTTTCAAAAGTGAGGTTGTCAATACTGCTTTCTACCATAACAGCCATACTCCCTCCACACATACATATACCTTTGTTGAAATAAAGGGACTATTTCTATTCACTAATAGTAGCTAAGGGAGCCAAACACACCAAAATTAGTGGTTCAATAGTAAGAAACCTATTCTTTAAGCACCAGCTACAATTTGTTTTCTAATGAGTTTTCCAGCAAGATAAAACAAGACAACCTTAGACACAGATAACAATTACTAATATTTCCAGGGTAAAATTTCAGTATACACACAGATAACCCCAAAGATTCAAATTAAGAATTTATCATTGAAAAGTTTTATAAATTACTTGAAAAAGAGTTGCAATCAGTACTTAAAAAAATGTGACTGGAAAATCACAACTAAGCACTGTTTTAATGATAGGTTTCATGACTTAGCGTACATATACATATATGTGGCTGTCACTTGGCAAGTGGGCTTTGGGCAACACTAGTTCCTAGTTGTCAGGTCCATCGTGGGATAAACTGAGAACCGGGTCACTTGGCCACTATTAAGGTTATTTAGGAAAATATGCTCTGAGTTGAAATCAACTAAATTAGAAGTATTCTTCGGCAACGAGAAATTTATTTATAAATTATAGACTTTTCTGAATGTTCAAAGGACACTTACTTGCATGCTGAAAGTAGTGCAGCACTGGTGAAAAGTGGCCTGGATAAGTCAAGATCCACTTGCTGTGTTTGTGGAAGACTGGACTCATAGCTAAGTGAAAGCAGTGTTTGCAGAGTTATTTGTTAGAAAATATTATTTCAAAGAAACTGAAAATGCAAATCAGAACTTACAAACTATTTAAATGTATAAGATACGCATTCTGTCACTTCAGCATATTAGTTATTTTTTAAGACGGAAAATTACCATGACATTGGATATTTCTGCTTTATGTATCAGTATCGATTTTCAGTTATATGCCTCATACCTTTGCAGTATCTTTGAAGCCATGTTCACTGCTTCTGTACAGCTAAACTGTACAGCTAGGTCTCTTATTCCAATATTCGAGTTCAGGCCCAGTAAACACTCAAAAGATTTAAGACAACTCTGATACATCTTCTTGTTGAAACCAGAAAGTTTAATTAAAAAATCCTTTGAAAGGAAAAACAGATGAATCATAAAAATCGTAAGTGCTGTATATTAGTGCCTTTAACACTTGTTCAATAAGTCAACTTTTCAAGATTAATTAATTCTGTGGCAAGTCACTCTACCTAAAGGTTTAGCTTCACTTAGTCAAAAATCAGTAATCATATCAGGCAAGTTAAGTACCGCTGGCAAGAAGCTCATACTATAGAAAGGCAGTCATGCATGTGTGCAGATAATTTAAAATACAACATAGTGTTACCACAGCCAAGCTGTGAATTAAAAAACACAGGAGATGCATATATGGTTATTTGCTTTAACAAAGGTGCCAATGTGCAATTCACTGGAAAAACAAAGGAGGGAAGTAGTGGGAGTGAGGTGGGGAGGGAGAGTGTGTGTGAAAGGGAGATAAGAGGGAAACTGGGAGAGAAACAGGAGGATCAACCACTGAGGTACACCAACTCTGCTTGGGAAAGGAAAGCTTAATAAAGGATGTAACAGCAAGGCAGGGTCATTTTAAGACAAACAGGAGCTTGCTAGAAAAGCATTCCAGGTTAAAAAAAAAAAGGCATTGCATTTACAAAGTCAGTCATTAAGATGCATGGTCTGTTAAGTGAATAGTGTAGCTTGAGGTTAGTAGGGTTCAAGAAGGGCTGGAGAGTTTGATGGTAATGGGGAGCCAACCCATGGGGAGCCAATGGTGTTTTTAATGCCACCATTTTTATCAGTGTACCATTATGTGACAGGCACTGTGTTAACAGTGTTACATATAGTACATTGTTTCCTCCTTACAATTATCCAGTGAAATGGATACCTTTATCCCCATTTGATGGATGAGGAAACTAGAGACTCACAGAGTTAGTAACCGGTGGTGTTGAGATTTGGTCTCAACATGTGAGTCTTGCCATAGCTTGGCTCTCAACCACTGTGACACTGGAAGAAAAATAATACATGGGTTTTAAAGTATGTGATTTAGGAGAATGATGCTAGTGGCAGTGTGGAAGACAGCCTTGTGTAAAGAAAGAGGTGCTCAGGAAAACTAGGTAGTAAAGAATAGAGAGAATGTTGCAAAAAATTTTTTTTCTCAAACTCTACAAAATGATTCTAAAGTTCATCTAGAATAACATACGAGAATAGCCAGGAAAATTCTAAAACACGGAGTTTTGATGGGGGCTAGTCCAACCAGAGATGAAAACATGATTAAACTTCAGTGTTGCACCAGATTATTCAGACATTCAGTGGGACCTACTTACCCTGTCCAAGGGGCACTTCATGCAGGAAGCTGCAAGGTCCAGGCACATGACTGCATTGCTGGTTTCTGTGGTTCGTGCCGCCAGGCCAATACACTTCACATGGGACAGTCGCAAGTACTCCTCTGCTTTCCTGAGCAACACATTCACTAAAACTCTTTCCCAGAAGTTTGCCCAATACTTTGGTAAACAATGAATTCAGCCTGGCGGACTTCACTCCGACCCTAATTCCTATGCAAGTTTATTTGGGGCTGGGAATGAAACGCACATCTTTTGGGGGAGGACAGGGTTCTACAAAACAGAACAAACCCTCTGATTCCAGACATCACTGTGCTCAAGTACTTTCAAGCAAAAGTAAGTTCCTGAAATCCTCCCAAAAAGGCCAACCCTTCTTTCAGCCTTCCATTACTGGAACAAGCATGAACTGTGACACAGGCAGGCAAGTGAGACCAGGGTTCCTCCTTCCTCTAAATCTGTGTTCTTGGGACTTCCCTGGTGGTGCAGTGATTAAGAATCCGCCTGCCAATGCAGGGTACACGGGTCCGATATCTGGTCCAGGAATATCCCACATGCCGCGGAGCAACTAAGGCCCTGCGTCACAGCTACTGAGCCTGCTCTCTAGAGCCCACGTGCCGAGAGGCCATGCTCTTCAACAAGAGAAGCCACTGCAATGAGAAGCCCGCGCACCGCAACTATGAGTAGCCCCCACTCGCCGAAACTAGAGAAAGCCGGCGCACAGCAACGAAGACCCAACGCAGCCATACGTACATACATACATACATAAATAAATAAAAATAAATCTGTGGTTCTCAAACTTTAGTGTACATGACAGTCACCTTGGGGCTTGTGAAAAGATTGCTGGTCCCAGCCCGAGTTTCTGATCAGTAGGCCTATAGTGGGGCCTAAAAATGCATTTCTACCAAGTTCCAAGGAGATACTGATACTGCTGGTCCAGGAACCACACTTTGAGAACCACTGTTCTAAATGATCACGAGTCCAGGAGGTGTTCCTTTCCTTCCCTTCCATCACCTAATTGACAGTCCAAGCACCCAGGCTAGCCCTGCCCTCCCAGTTTAACTACAATACTTTCTTTCTTTCTTTCTTTTTTTAACATTTATTTACTTATCGGCTGTATTGGGTCTTCGTTGCTAAACGCGGGCTTTCTCTTGCGGCGAGCGGGGGCTACTCTTCCTTGCAGTGCGCAGGCTTCTCATTGCGGTGGCTTCTCTTGTTGCGGAGCACAGGCTCTAGGCACACGGGCTTCAGTAGTTGTGGCACGCGGGCTCTGTAGTTGTGGCTCACGGGCTCTAGAGTGCAGGCTCAGTAATTGCGGTGTACAGGCTTAGCTGCTCCGTGGCATGTGGGATCTTCCCGGACCAGGGCTCGACCTGTGTCCCCTGCATTGGCAGACGGATTCTTCACCACTGCACCACCAGGGAAGCCCCAATACTTTATTTCTAACCCTGGATCATGCAAAAGTCCTTCCCATCTCCGGGGTTTTGCACAGGCTGCTGTCCCTGCTTGGGCCCTCTTCGCACATCTTCCCGTGGCTGGCACCTTCTATAAATCGGGTCTCAGCGCCAGTGGCACCCCCCCATCCGAGGCTTTCTCGCAAGTTTCTTTTAAATTAAAGGCTGCAGAGAAGCTGCGCTCCGCTCCATCCCCAGCGGCTCCGCACACCACCCCATTCCACTTCCTGCATAGACACTGCCCTCCATGAGGTCTCTACCTCGTCTGTCTGCCTCCGCCGTAAACGCACTCTCAATAAGTTTCAGGGAAACGACCCAAGCTCTCCGCTTCTCTCCCTTTCCCACCACCGTGCATCCCACAGTACTAGCTGTTCCCTGGGGCGTCTACACTCGCCCCTCCGGCCTGCTCACGAAGCCCACTGTCGGGAGGTTTTTCTTAAGGTAGGGCCTAAATCCCTTCTGAGAGCGCAGGGCCGCTGGGGTGCGCCCGACCGGACTCACCTCAGCACCTCCGGCTCGGCGATGCCCAGGCGCGGGGCTAAACGCCGGATCAGACCAGGTTCCATGGCGCGGACAAAGACTACACCCGCAAACAGCTGCAACGCGACGAAACACGCGCGCGGACGTCTCGCCAGCCAGTGAGGGCCGGGACCCACCCCCCCGCTGCATCTGGATTGGTTGGGACAAGAAGTTGCGACTACCCCGTAAACCAATCCTGGTCTTCCTCCTGAGCGTGCGCGCTGCGAGTACACGCGCCAAGGCAGAAAGTGAATGTGCCCCGGCAGCTCCCACTCCTTTTATTCCTCCCTTTTAGGCAGACTCAAACGCTGCCTTAGGCTCTTGCTGTCTCCTTCCTGCAGCCAAGGGATTTCCCCCTACTCCGCACTGTCCCGCCACACACTGTGGCGAGATTGGCTGGCGCCTAAGTTCCTCGGTCCAGCGTGAAGTGACAAGGACCAATAAATACGCGAGACTTGGAGGGCCAATCTAGGAGCTGCCTGCAGCGTCCGAAGGCGGAGCTAGAGGGGGCGGGGCTTGGAGGGGCTGCAGAGTCACCTGACCGCGGGAGGCTCCGCGCGGGGTGGGTGCTGTTAGCTGGAGGCTTAGGGGAATCGCCATGGTGAGTGCTGAGGGGCCGCGGGCCCCGGGCCGACCCTTCTCCCAGCACCTGCTCACTCCCACGGCCTTGGAGCCTTGCAGGAGGAGTCGGGGCCCCGCAGCCGGGTCGGGGCTAACACCAGCCCGGCTTGGCCTGCGGGGTGGGCGACAGGCCGGGGAAGGCCGCAGGCGGGGCGATCCGGGCTCGGGTGGGCGGGGGTGTTTGGCCGCGGCCGTTACTCTTTGAGGAGGTGTCTCCGCCCATTAGCTCTGGGGGTCCGTGAGGGCCTGCGGCCCTTCTGAGTGGAGTCGGCCACCGCCCGCCTTGATGGGATCCAGAGTGCCGGGTCTGGGCGTCTGGCTGGAACGGGAGCGTGCGGAGGGCCTGAGGCTCAGAGGTGGCGTTGGGATCCGCCCAGAGGCTGCTCCCTTGCTGGCGGTTCCACCTTTGTGCCTGGTAGTGCTTTCTTATCCCTTCCTTGTGCAAGAAATACCTTCCGGAGGGGCCTTAATGGTGCCCGGGCCTTCTTCGGCCTCATAGCCCCCTTCGACTGCAGTGTGTGTCAGAATTCTAGGGACTCGCTTACGTGAATTTCCTGGAAGGACTCATGCTCTCTGGTATCTACTAATTCTGAGAGACGGAAAGGAGACTGCTTGTTTCGTTTAACACTTGTTCGTTGGGCGTCCTGGCTCTCTTACTGACCTCCCCATTGATGAAATCCAAGTGTTTTACTTCCTGGAAGTAGGCATACTCCTTAGCGCCTCTCCGTGCTGGCAGCAAATCGTGGTGTGGCTGTTGGCTGGTGAACTTGAACTTCCTCAAAATGTGAATCCTTGTGTCTAGTTTCCACAAAGGCAAGTTGTTACTTGCATTTTATTAGCGTTTGACATAGTCTGCACAGTATGAATAATGTTTTTGGATGTTGGTGTACAGTATGTCAGTTTTATCTCACTATTTACTTTACGTAGACAGGCTTCTGAAAACCTGTAACCCTGGAAACGGGTCGCTTTAAATGTGTTAATGCCAGAAAGCAGAATGTTTGACATATATTACTTTCATATAATATGATGCCATACAAGGTGATTTTGCTTATTTCTCAGAATTTTTAGTTGGGAATTGATATGAGAACGGTGCAAAAATTAAACTAGGATATCTCTGTTTCTCAACATTTATGGATTGACATTTATAGTGTTTTGTAATCAAAGCAGTTACTTGAGGATCTACTATACATCCAGATTCTGTGCTTGATGAACCAGTTTGGAGCAGTGAGCCAGACACACAGTCCTGTTCTCATGAATTTTATTGGGAAAGAAAACTTGAGTAGCAGCCTTGTCACAGCCACTGTCTCTGTGACTTGGGCAAGTCACTCAATCTTCTTTCAGTCTCCTTTTTGCATCTGAAAACAAATGTTGCCTCTTTGGCCCTTCCCAATCCTAAAATTCTAGGATCCAGTTCAATTCATCATGCATCTTGTGTGCCTTCTATGTCATGGACTGTGCTGGGCACTGGGAACATAGTCCTTGCTTTCAAAGAACTTAAGGGTCTAGCAGGGAAGACTTGCTTGTGGCACTTAATGGAATACAGTCTGAGGATCGCTTTGCTAGCACTGTCAACTCAGTGTTGTGGGGCCCTGGAGGGAGAGACAGTTCTGCCTGAGGAGCTTGGGAAAGACTACAGGAAGTAAATGTGAATTTTGATTCTGAGGAAGGTGAGCAGAAATTCCCCAGGTGGAGAAGAAGGTGTATTGCTAGTAGATAAAGCTGGGAGAAGTGAATGCTCATGGTGTGTGCCATCATAGGATTCCTGGGGAAATTTATTGGTAAATTAAGGTGGAGACACTTTGGTATTAAAATACATGTTTGGACGTTCCCATCCCTTCATCATCCTTAGTTCTGCCTACTTCAATTGCTATTTTGTGTCTTATCATCATTTTTAAAATAGTACTTTCATTAACATAGTGAAATTCTGTATCTTTGTGAGACTGGTTATTTTCACTTTACAGTTGCTTTGCATCGCGTTGTTAGATTACATCTGTAGCATGAGTGGAGAGATTGACAAATAAGTTTCTAGGATCGTTGGAGATAATTGCTGATATCTAAGGGGGATATAATAATAATGGTAACACTTATGTGAAGTGCTTATTACTAAGTGCTAAGCACTTTTCAAGCTTTATCTGTGTCACTTCACTTATTACTCATAACGGTGATGTAAGTACCCTTATTAACCTTGTTTGCTACAAGACGAAGTGAAAGCACATTGTTTGAATGGAGAATAGTTTTATAAGTGATATGTTCATAGTGACCTTGTTTTCTCTGCACCTTTTTTAAAAAATAAATTTATTTATTTAATTTTGGCTGCGTTGGGTCTTCATTGCTGCCCACGGGCTTTTTCTAGTTGCGGCGAGCGGGGGCTACTCTTTGTTGTGGTGCATGGGCTTCTCATTACGTGGCTTCTCTTGTTGCAGAGCATGGGCTCTAGGCGCGTGGGCTTCAGTAGTTTGTGGCGCATGGGCTTAGTTGCTCCGCGGCATGTGGGATCTTCCTGGACCAGGGCTCGAACCGTCCCCTGCATTGGCAGGCAGCTTCTTAACCACTGCACCACCTCTCTGCACCTTTTAACTGTGTAGACTTGGGAGGGCTGTTCGGCTTGAGTCTCAAGCTAAAATGGGCCTGATCACAAATGTTAATTTGATCTTGACTCTGTAGTGTTTCCATTTTTCTCTGATGCATGTAGCTGCTATGTACAGAGTCATCTGTAAACGGAGAACCACTTTCATGAGTGAGGAGTCATTGGTTACCTGGCTTGTGTTTAATGAGAGCGTGTTCACGTTATACCTGACAGTACTCGCAATGTGACACTTCCCAGGAAGGGCATCTAGATGCTCCTTTAGAATAGCCATTTGGGGACTTCCCTGGTGGTGCAGTGGTGAAGAATCCGCCTGCCAATGCAGGGGACACGGGTTCAAGCCCTGGTACGGGAAGATCCCACATGCCGCAGAGCAACTAAGCCCGTGTGGCACAACTACTGAGCCCATGTGCCACAACTACTGAAACCCGCGCACGTAGAGCCCGTGCTCCGCAACAAGAGAAGCCACTGCAATGAGAAGCCCGTGCACTGCAACGAAGAGTAGCCCCTGCTCGTCACAACTAGAGAAAGCCCACACACAGCAATGAAGGCCCAATGAAGCCAAATAAATAAATAAGTACAATAGCCGTTTGTATAATAACTACATTGTCTTACAAGTAATATGTAAAAATACATTAATATAGCTTTATCTCTTCATTTGTAGCCTACTAATAAGTCTGTAATTTTCTACATTGTGTATATATATGTTTCTATTAATTTTAAACCCCATTGATACAAAATAGAAAAATTTTGCCAATTTGTTTACAGATTACTGAACCTGGTCATTTCTATACAAGTATTTTTGAATTGCTTGTAACCTCTTTTTTTTTTTTAAGTCAAATAACCCTTTATTCTTATATTCTGCACTTGATGCACTTGGTGCTCAGTAGGTTGAATCAAAAATGATTTTCTTTTTTTTTTTTAACATCTTTATTGGGGTATAATTGCTTTACAATGGTGTGTTAGTTTCTGTTTTATAACAAAGTGAATCAGTTATACATATACATATGTTCCCATATCTCTTCCCTCTTGCGTCTCCCTCCCTCCCACCCTCCCTATCCCAACCCTCCAGGTGGTCAGAAAGCACCGAGCTGATATCCCTGTGCCATGCAGCTACTTCCCACTAGCTATCTACCTTACGTTTGTTAGTGTATATATGTCCACGCCTCTCAATCGCCCTGTCACAGCTCACCCTTCCCCCTCTGCATATCCTCAAGTCCGTTCTCCAGTAGGTCTGTGTCTTTATTCCTGTCTTACCCCTAGGTTCTTCGTGACATTTTTTTTCCCTTAAATTCCATATATATGTGTTAGCATATGGTATTTGTCTTTGTCTTTCTGACTTACTTCACTCTGTATGACAGACTCTAGGTCTATCCA